GCTCTTCTCTGGTTCTTCTCCTCACATCTTGGTTAGTCTCCAAGCGCACCAAGGCAGCAGCTCTCTGACACCCAGTACGCGTGGTGCTGCGTGCACTGTCAGGGCCTAACGGACAATGCGGTGTGGACAGCAGTGACTGAAATACAGCTGGAGCCGATCTCAGTCTGTCATAGCTCGCTCTCAATCCAGCAGTTACCTCTGAGCTTCCCCTGGATCCAGCGTCTCCACCCAACTAGCAAATACAATCACAATGACATTCTGCAAAAGGTAAATAAAAAATTGCTACCGTTCTGTCAAAGACAGAAAAAGAGCTTGTCTGCCAGTATTATGCATTCTTCCCTAATAACAGCACTGCACGACTCAGTGCCCATGAAAGGGATTTTCCTCTTGCTGTTTTAGTCCACTTCTTTTGCCCTTGCCTCCCCACACAGCCCCGCAGTGCGAGTCCTCCTGTCCCCCACTCCCGTCCCGCATCCTGTAAAGCAGACTGAGGAATAAGACCTAATACGTGCCACGTTACGATGCTGACAATTCCCCGTCCCTTCCGCTAGCATTGACCTGCAGAGAACAGCGCCAGGGCACAGAAGGCAGCTCGGTACGGCTTAACCCACTTGACAATCAGCCTTGCTGTTGAGACTGCTAAAGAGGAAATATTAATGTTTGATTTTAAGATCAAAATCTGCAATTCCCATTGAGTCTGAACAAGACCTAGGCGCTCAGCATCTTAAAAAGTCAGACCCTCGGTGTCAGTGATGTGGGTTCCATGCTACGAACAGCTTTTTACCAGAGCGGGATGGAGCGGGACTTTGCCAACTCATTTCGTTTAAACAGGTTACGCAAAGGCCCTGATTTCAATCATGGATGCAGAACCAGAAAACAACATACACCACTATTGACCCCAGTCACATTACACTGTTGCATAGAAACTGGTGTGCCCATCTCACGTTGACTCCTCCTTGGCATTTTGGTTCATTATAACGGTTCTGTTTTTTAGAATTTTACGTTCTAGTTCAAAAGCTCTTCAGCAGAAAATTCTTGACAAACTGCTGAGGATGAGCAGACGCGAGTCCCCTGTCCCTCAGCTTTTGGAAGAGGCCACTGCAATAGGAGACTAAAGCAGATCTGGACGAAGATCACATTCAATGATTAATTCAGAACAAAATAAAATATAAGGCTTCCTTTGAAAACTTATGAAAAGAAACTTTTCCCAACCAAACATGGCCTGAAGGCTGTAAATACATCTTTCTTTATAATACACCTTCTCCTGCTGCTGCCTTCAAGGCCAGGCTTCCTCTTTTTGTTTGTGTCTGCCTCTCACAACAGATACTGCATGCTTTAGACATTCACCAAAGGAACATTTTACACTGACTGGGTGGGATCAGACCAGATGAAAGGCTGAGCTTTACCTCGGCATGCACATAGCAGATTACTAGAATCCTTTGTAGGATTTAAAGTTATGAAAATCATCTCTCTTTTCAAATGTTTACAGATAATGACTTCTATTCACACTGTGGTAACAAAATAACAGCCGGGAATAAAACATTCAAGATCTCGGAGATTCCAAAGACAGGAAAAGAACAACAGTTTCTACACTCTTTTATCCCTTACACTCTTAACATTTTGTTTTTCTTTGTCTCTGTTGCCCAACAATGGCACAAAAACGTGACTGTCAGAACAGGTAACATCTGATGATATGTCTCAAGATGAATATTCTAGTAGAGAGGAACAACATTTATACAGTCATGATAATTGATACGGCTTCCTATTATATTCTGAAATAAACAAAACCACTAAAGCATTATAACCTGGCATATCAAGAAAGCTTGTCGTAATTCATAGATACTAACTCAAAAAGTATTACGGTATTTGAAACAGAAGAGCCTAAAAAACTCCACTTAAAAAGCTGCCAACAAAATGAACTCTGAAAGCCTTGTCTGAGATTCCCTTCTTTTTTATACAAGATGCTTCTTATTATCCAGTCTGGTGTCACCATTAAAGAAGAGTGTAGGGGGAAGATGTGGGAGAGTATAGACATCCCTGCTAATATGGATTTTTTTCCCCACATGCTTTGTGTAACGGCACACAGAATACACTATACAACAGCACAAACTCCTAATCCAGTGGTCCTTCCAGAGGAAGGTGGGATGCCTTACCCTGCCACACCGTACATCTCCTATAGATAAGAGAAAACATCACTCCCCGGGGCTGTCAGTTTAAAATCGTTCAGAAGCAGGAAAAAAAGATGAAGGGGAAAAACACTGACAGAGCCACCGTCTAGACTTAAAATACTTCCAATTAGAAAGCTTTATTATCATTTTGAAGGAGACACATACCACACACAGTCTATTATACAGCCCCAGGAGGCTTACTCACATGAGTAAAGCCTATTTACATGTATGCACTCTCTGTGAAGTATAAGCCTTGGGCATATGATACATCTCCTTCGGCTCCTCAAGGTATTTCTGAGCAACATTTCGCCCGTGTCCCTCTTGCAGGCTACTATGACTCTGATCACATAACAAACCTGACCCTCCAACTGTCCAGGTAACGTCTGTCGGATTTCTCCTGGAAATCCTCGTAAGATAGAGGGCTGCACCGACGACCTTGATTCAGCATTTAGAGCAGTAACTGGAACAACTCCTTACAAGTACTGGATTCATCTCCAAGCAGAGCTTGGCCCCTTTCACGTACCGAGTGTAATTTTTTTCACATAAATGCATCCTCTGTAAAGCTCGCTTTAGGAATCAGCCAGGCTTTGTATGTTGTAATGTGTCACAACTTCTATCAAGGGGAAATATGAAACAGATGTCATCAGAATTGGTAGACAGGGAGGCAAGGAAACACAGCCTCATATCAAAGTATACTACATTATACTGCTAGATTAGCATCTAGCGCAGCTTCTCTTTCAGAGTTGGCAAGCTGTTAGTTCAGCTCCGCAACAAGTGAGTAACGTCAATCAGCAGCAAGGCGAGGTGCGCGCCGGGGAGGGCTGGGCAGAGAGGCACCAAGAATCCTCCCTCCTGCATCACGGGCTCAGCATCTACCTAGCGGCAACCCAAAATCGTTGGCATCCAGTTACAAACTGGTGCTCTGCGGGGCATAACTCGGTAGAGCCTCTCAGCCCAGGCCTCGGAGGACAAATGTCCCCCTAACTACCACCGAGCAGCAACATTGCTGCTAGACGCAGGACTGAAGCCAAGTGATTCGTAAGCAAAGCTCTGTCCGCTCTCCTTTGTTCTCTCTCCCAGGAGAGGGATGGGAGAGAAGGTCCAGTCCTGTCAGCTAGCTTTCACAGATAATAAAACCGTGAACACAAATGTTAAAAGGGAAAAAAAAAAATCTCGTGTCAGAATCCTGCCTCTTCCTCACTGTACTTGACACCACTTATCTAATCTATCACAGCTTTCAGATACATTAGAGAGATTAAACTCCAACAAATTAATAATGTTGATGACACCTTCACCGTGTACCTAGTCAAATGAGAACCAGTCGCCTTTGGATGACGATGAAATATATACGGCCTCTAACAGCTGGAATACAATGTTGTTTTCCTACCAGCCATCTGGCATTCCAAAAGGGTATTCCAACCGCTTCTGCCCTCTGACTGTTCAGACAGCGTCGTCTAAGATCCTAGAGGTCACCAGAGCATCCCGATAGCTTCCCTTGGCAGACGGCGCGAGGAGAAGGTAAAAGTATGGGTGGTAGAAGTTTGATTTCACACCTGATCATGAGACAGCATTTTTGGAAAAATGCATCACAACCATACAATAAGTGAAGAAAGGTTTTTTGACGTACACAACAGCATTCACCTAATCCTGAACTGCATTTGTTCCAGATGGCAACCAACCTAGTTAATCCAAGTTATTAACAATTGACAGTGCTCAGAGTTGTCCTCAGGAGAATTTTTTTGGTGGTGGTTTTCCTGTTTTGTGAATATAACATCACTGACTCAAAGCACCTATAATGGAAAAATTATGAGTGTTGCCGTAAGACAAGCAAGTGCCGTGTGCCTGAATCCTGGTAGCACGGAGCCAGGGATTAAAGCACGCTCCTCCTGCGTCCTGACAGTCACCTTCCAGGACAGCTCCGCTGCCTTGCCAGCTGCCTTCACATCTCAAGAGAACTGAAGCTCTGCCTGTAAGCCACGGCCTTTCACCAGTTTTGGTCTTGTAATGTAAACATAGCTTTTTTATGAGGCTAACCTAGACGGATCCAGATGTTGACTGTTCTAGACCTGAGCTATTTACTTAGGTCAGACTCTCATCCTTGGCATTTCCCATTACCTGCAGTTGCTCTGGGCTGCCATTGGTGGAGGGGAGCCCAAAGCCAAGCCCTTTTTGTAAAATTATTGTCTGTGAAATTTGACCTATACCATTAAATCTAATTGAATTCATACCTTGTTTTCATTTAAGGATGAAAAATGATGTAACATGATATCTAAGACAGAATCCTAACTCCCTAGCTGGCTTTTAAAAACAGAGACTACTGCCTTGCTTGTGGCTATATCAGGGCCAGATCAAGCCTTGCAATAAAGTTAGGATGCTTGAATTAAAAAAAGATACAACACCAAACACCACTGGGCCACTTTTAACATAGCATTTGAACTTTAGAGTTGAAACCGCAACTTTAAAAATAGTAAACTATTAATCTTTCCCTTATTTTCTTGACTCCTATATATCTTCTCCCTCGTAGGCAGGTACCAGCTGCCATATTCCCATTCTTCACGCTCTGCACTCTGCAAAAAAAAGAGGCCCCTGCTGGCCAATTCTTGTTTAAAATTGTGCATAATTGATAGTGGCAAATCTACCCCAGCTG